TACTAAAACCAATTTTAGGCTGTTGAGGTTGATATTTCAAAAATATCGGTATTTATGTTTTACAAAATAACACATAACTGATACAAAATACAGCAATGATGCTCTGCCAAAAGTGACCATGTTCGATAGCTAGGTGATAAATGAGAAGGGCGATATTTTGAATGCATTCTACATACCAAAATAGAAATGCTGGAGCGGATTCATGCCTGAACACAGTTCTGACATATCTGATCTTTCCTGTCTTCGTGTAATACAAAATCTAACAGAGCGTGTGTTGTGTGGAATTTTCAAACCAAGCGTGCATTTCTGACCCATCTGCTCCCAATATGGAGTCCACGGGAAGCTTGGATGGGAATGTGGAACGTACCAATAATCCTCAAAGCAACATCAGCAACCGTGTTCTGGCAAACATATTCTTATCATCTCGATTGTCATTTAAACGACCCTCCTTAACGCGAGAAGAACACGAGAGGGCAGATAACCCTCTGTCTAGATGATAGCAGCCAATGAGAAGACAGCTCACTGCAGATAGCACACATTTATCCGACGGACCAGTAGTTAAAAGTTCGTTTATCTTTTTTCTCTTTTTAAGCTACGTAAATAGCAAATGTACGTCTGGTAGATGCATTTTAATTTAACCAGATGTTAGGGTTATGTACTCAGTCGGTCTGTATCATTTATAGTTGGGTTAAGCCCTAGCCAAGTAATACATTATAATGTTGATAGAACGGTACTGTACATGCTCATTTGTGAGAAGCTTTATACTGTGTTTCTATGTTTTACAATAATGTCCTTGCAAAAGTGGGCCATGGTTACTGAAAGTGATAACAACGTTTCTTTATTTTTATCACAGATACACAATGATAACATTTAGGTCGTAAAAATAAATTTATATGCAGTTCCAGTAAGTTTTCATTAAAGCCGTTTTAGAGCACATTACTATTATGCTAACGCACACATTGTGTATGCATAGCAATATCACAGTTAATGATTAATATCCACATGGCACAGACACTATGTCCCCGTTTAACATTGGCACTAACTATAACGTCCAGACATACGCTATAAGCTCCACTATTGTAATGACGACTTGGAAGCGTGTGGTATGCCAGGAGACAATGTCACGGATATCTTAATAAATGAAATAGAAATTAGATTACCTCAGGTACCACGCATCACATGTTGAAATGTATTGCCGACCGTTGTCTACGTGACTTAGTATTGCTTACTATTGATATGAGTACTATTGTGCGTTGTCAGGCAACAGACACATAACTTTTCATAGCGGTGCAAGATATAGAGCAGGTCATCGCTACCCTTTAAGCGAACATCTGGCAACATCACTGATTTTCAGTGATCCATTCATATAATGTTTACCTTTCTTTTGCCGTTTACACCCAATGGAATATGTTTCGTTGGATAAGGGTATGGAAGCTGGGTATTCTCTGACATTGACGTTATATATGTACTGCGCACCACATAATGATATGGATACGGATAAGGATTGTATCATTGACTCCCTATATGTATGTGGTACTAGTATTACTGAACAGACGCTTTTCAGATATGACTACCCACTCAAACAGTATAATAGATTTCACATATCAATTCCAGTCCACTCTAATATAACAGACAACCAGAGCAACTAAGATTGCGTTAATATAACCTTTACGTTAAGAAAGAACTGCATTCCTTGCTCGTGGTTTCCTAAAGGAGCAGGAAAAATATTGATGACAAAATTAACTTACTGATGGGATCCAGATGATTGCGTGTGCTTGATGTAAATGATGGATACATACTTTTATCCACAAAGGCTACTCGGTGTTGTCTTGTAACACAGGGGATCACAAACATTGGCTATTGATTTACAGGTTAAATTGTAATTTAGATTACAGAGGCGGTTTGCGGTTCACAATAAAATAGACATTGCACTGGGAATGCAAATATTCATTATTGTTCGATCTGTTTTTTGTAGAAATGCTAGAACGTGTTCGAAGGAAGGAAAAGATTTAAAACAGAAATGTATTGACATAAATTCTTAATAGGCTATTTTTGCAGATGGAGACGAAGGCTCGAAACTATTGCATACGAAACATACTATTATCCCATTACCTTACGTTGAGTTAAATACACTCTTCAAGAATAGAAACGCACAGGTATATTTTTAGTAAAGTTATTGTACCTAATAAAGTCGATATATTTAATTTAATATGAAATATGAAATTTTGGAGCTCGATAGTCACATGTTGTCGTTGTACAAAGACATTGAAAACTGTTCATTGTCATGTCACATAAGGCCACATGATTGCGCTGAACCTAGTAACTCGTATGACCGCCCCAGGCAAAAAATCACGGCACTGCATCTCCTTGGCATTGACTGGGTATGTGTACGAATTTTGTCCTGCGGAATTCTGTGCCATTCTGCTTGTAACGATTTGGCCAGTTGTGGGGGTGTCTGCGGCGTGTTCTGACGTTGACGTTCACGTCGATCAAGTTCATCCCAGAGGTGTTCGATGTGGAGTTCTCGACGGCCAGGGCAAAGCGTTGATGTTGGCATTATGAGGGTAGTCTACCGTAACAGGAGCTTTTTGCGGTGGAGCGGTGATCTGTATAAACGGCTCTCTCTGGCGGTCAATGATTGGAAGAAGGTGGGGGTTGAAGAATTTGATTCATGTAGCGATTTGCTGTCAAATTTCCCTGAACCACAACCAAATCAGGTCTCGTCGTGTAGGATATGCCCCCCCCCCCCCACACACACACACCATGACACTACCGCCACCGAAATTGTCGAATCCACGTGCACAATGTTGGGCAAAACGCTCATTTCGACGACAATAAACACGATGTCTTTCATCGGTGAAGAAGAAATCGTGATTCATCGCTGAACCACTCTCGTCTCCAGTTTCTCAAATTCCAAGGCTGTAAGGTATGGCACCAACGCAAGCGTCGCTGTCGATGGATCTGTTGCAAAACAGGGACGATAACTGGTCTTCCGGTTCGGATTCCAGTCTCGCGAAGATGGTTCCTGGCAGTATGGTCCGATAACCTCCTCAAACCAAGGATGCGTCCTGCAGTTTCCGTAGCTGTTGCATTGCGATGATGTAGGTGGAACAGTCGAATGTAGCGATCCTGTGCAGGGGTGGTAACTCTTGGTCGGCCGGTTCTCGGACGGTCTGCAGTGGAATTGAACTGTGTGTATCGGCCACAAGGGCGGCAAATGGTACTGCGGTGGACGTTGAAGTGGCGTTCAAAAGAAGACTGCGTTTCCCCTCTTTGGATACGTCCTATGGCGATGCTCCGATCGACAGCGCTAAGTCTCGGCATTGAAAAATGTTGACAATTGAATGACAAATTACTGGCTTATGCTTGCCTTTTTATAGCCACTACCACAAGTTACGAATGCCATAACTTGCACGTGCATTTTGCTTCAATGTTTTTCTCCATGACATTTTTGAACAAGTGTGAAAACAATGCCGTTTCAAACAATGGCTGTGTTTTACGTATATCCAATTTATATACCGGACTTTTTGTGTAGTCAGGTTCAATGAACTACAGACAACCTGTGCGTTTCTTGTTTTGAAGAGAGTAGAGGGTTTGTGCTTAAGAGACTGAAATTAATAGACGGATTGGTATCTGTTTGCCTCTTTATTCTCCTTAGCTAAATTCCTGATGATGTTCGTACTATATTTTACCACATGATGCATGGTTACTCTTGTTTCTGCAATACGATTGTACTCGTATGTAACAGTATTATTGCTGAGTACAGTTTTTATGTACCTAAATGTTATTTTGAAATAATATTTTTAAAGAACACGTGAATGACAAAACATAATGTGTCGCCAGGACCACCTTGGTGGTCTAGTGGATAAAGCGTCTACTAGAAGAACGAAAGGTCGCGTCATACTAAATGACGTTAAAAGATAGTACTTGATATTAGGCAGCCTGGCACTCGGCATGAAAGGCATAAAACAAGAACTGATCGGCTCGGAGGCAGTATCAAGTGTCTGAGTGGGGTACCCATGTTTAAACAGCGGCATTGTATTTTAGTGGGGCAGCACTATAAAACCGGCATTAGTCCGGACTTGTACAAGCGAACATGTACGTCGCTACGTTTGCAATAATCTTGAACACGACGTTCTCATTTGCTTTTTCCATTGACCTTCACCTTTGTACAGACGCTACCCCGGCTATTAGTTCCGTTGTAGTATTGTCATTGGTTTCGCTGCTGATATCGGAACGGGTTTGCTGGGTGAGTTCTTTTGCATAGACCAAATGTAAAGGAGATCCCGAGCTATCGTGTTTCTGGATCCGGATCCAAGACTAGCACAGGACCGACTAAAAGGATTTCAACATGCTCAGCAATATGCTCTGTGTTAGTTCACCATGCAAAAGGTACGTTGTCAGTGCAATTAATGTGGGTTATGTACATGGATAACTGTAAGAATTGATGTTGTACGAGGTATTACACGTGGCTCAGCAAGGCTTAGTCTTGCATCGTGACATGAAAGCAGCGAGTCTACAGCAACCTAACAGCACAGTTGCAGCGGGGCCTGGCATTAGTGCAAGGGCTAATTGGAAACTACAGAAACGTATGTCACACTGTCGGTTGGGTATACACAGATTTATGCTCTCATAAGTTGATGGAGCTCAAATTCTGACAAACAAAATTCTTCTGAAACAGGATGAGATAAGCAGCAGACTGTAAATCACGAAGCATTATTCATATCTTAAAAGCTGGTAGGGATTAAGTGTTACATACACAATCAACAACAAACAGGGAAAATAATTCACGGTATGGTGAGACAAAATCTACATGCATAATCGAAATAGTGATCTAATCAAGTTGTGATGTATAGCCCCATACGGCCCTTTAACAAGGAAGTCAAAAGTACTAGGAAATTATCCAAAGCCTTTGTATCACATAGGCAAAGATAACGGGAAAGAGTAGGTATTTGTAGAGGGAGCTATACTAAGAAAGAGACCATCTCTATACTACTTACCTCTTCACGCTCTTCTCAACAGATACAACGCCGTGGATTAACATTGCACCGAGGACAACACACGCCACAAGTCTGTGCATGTCCATCCTTGCTGATGTAATATCTTCCTTGGGTACAGCTCACAGTTCAGTTATCACGCTCTGGTGATACAGTGGAAGTGAACTAGCTATCGCTACGTTCAGACTTGAGATGTGCACTTCTTTCAAGATTTAGTGCGCGAGTATGCGAGAATCCGATTGCGGATGGTTATGAGAAATAGGCCCTCTTGTAGTGATGGTTAACCATCAGGACCTGAAATGATCACAAACGATACACTGGCAACCTTAGAGCTTCACAACGCTGGTGCTTTAACTTGTTCTGGCAAACTAGCGGGAACGTAAACCAATATACAAACACAAACCGCTAGGGGAAACCACAACGCTGCTTGATGATATCTCAGCCATCGAGTCGCATCTTCTCAAGCCCATTCATTTATTGTGTATGTAAGAAAAGCACTCCTCTTTGGCAGGTGTGATTATCGCCACATCTGTGCTTGGGATGGGGAAGTTAGAACGCTACTGCAGCTTCTTAGTAACACAGAATCCCTTAAAGCAGAGTTCCCGAGAGATCGCATCTGGAGGCACAATCAGTGCAATTATCTCTTTCGCTTCATCAAATTTCCAATCGTCTTGCAGTGCCGATACAGTATACTGAACGATTCAATCAGGTACCTGACATCACTTATACATGTACAGCCTGTACGTTGTTTAGTAAGTAAATTACGGTGTTTCATTGGCTATAATCACTACGTCATGCAAGATGCACATGGAAGAGTCACACCCACTTCGTGTCTGACCAACTGCGTAGAGGGAGGTTAGCACCTGTTAGCACTAGTGCAACGCTACCACCTTATGAGATAAGCTGGGCACTGGAAGTCGTATGAATCTATTGAGTTTTCGAAGTAACCAGACACATGACGACCGATGGTTTTAAAAGCACTGTCGTTATCCATTGCAGATCAGTGTTGTGTTAGAACTCTACAGATATCCCCCGTGCTAGCTTGAAGTAATTTGCCACCAATTCAATCGATTCACAAGTTTATGGCATAAATTATCGCCTATAATTGTCCATCATGAATGTGTCAGTCGCCCACAAACATTCCCATTGCATTCATATATGATCTGCGGGGAAATTATTTCTCGGCAATGCTTCTTTTGTAACCTGTTGTAACATGTAATCACGTGCCGCCGATTTAGGAATTCCTCCTGGCACTGTGAATCCTGGCATCGTATAATCAATTTAATCTTCAGTCAGTGGATTTCCCCGCGTTTGTGTGTCTTTATTCCAATAAATATAAAGGCGACAGAACCCTTTCCATATTCATAAGAAATATCTGCTCACAGCAGAGTAGCGTGTAGATTCAGACAATATCATGAGCATGTGTTTATGAATCAAATAACGATAATACCAGGTGTACGCGAAAAGCTGAGCATTTCCTGCACCACCGGTGGCACCCGTCACAAACACATGTAAAGGCAAGGCAATTGTTCAGCTGAACAAAACACGCGAACATATGGTACAAGTCAAAATAGGCAATTGTATCGGAGTTCATTTGTGTTACTGATGTGTCAAATTTTGAAATGTCCACCACATGTCTACCATAAAACTTGTTCAAAGCTTAACTGAGGCCTTGAATTTTTAGCAAGAGTCAAACACATAATTCAAGTTTGAAATATTTGTACAACTTGGCAGATGTTATTAATTTTTCAATTTTAAATATTAAAACAATAACATACGGACATGGATTTTGTAAAAAAGAGATTACAATAATAATTGTGTTCTCTACTAAAGAGCTCAGTGGTACCATACAAATCTCATGTGTATTGGCAGGAAATTAATTCATCTAAATACTTTCATTAAGTCGTTGATATGATACAAAGTTCATTACACTTCCTCAACAATCAGTAATGGTATCTACCGACGTCGTTCTTCGCCGCGCAAATCTGGTAAAAGGTATTATGACCATGGTTATTAAATTCTCTGTGCAAAAAGGTTACAAAAAACCGTACACTCTTCACTTACAAATTATTATGAAGATACTGATTCCAGATGATGACAACACACGTGACCATGTTCGAATCTACTTGTAGTGAGTGAGTGAGTATGGTTTTACGCCGCTTTTAGCAATATTCCAGCAATATCACGGCTGGGAATCTACTTGTAAGTAGAACAGTTTTGCACGCATTGGGCGCACATGGGACTCACTTGCATCTCGAAGGCTGGCTTTAAGCTTGTGGTCGTGTGTTCGAATGAGGCAACATTCTGCTTTATTATAAAAGGGGCACGGGTGGCCCAGTCGTCTAAGGCACCGCGATTCGCTGTGCGGAGTTGCGTCCCTAGCGCACGCCAGAAACCTTGGATTGTGGGTTCCAATCCCGGTTCGCCCCGATTATGTTTCTAGGTTTGTCAGCATCATACCCGTGCTCGTAGGTTTCACGGTAGTGGTAAACGTCTGAGACCTGCATCACTTCGGGCTTTCCTACCACATTAAGCTGACACGCCGTGATGTAACTGGCATACTGTTAAATGCGGCGTTAAACCCAACTCACTCACTCACTTTATTGCGATCATTGATGTGCCAGTTCGTGCGTTTCATCAAAGCAGTAAACGTCGGAGGCTAAATCACATTGGGCTTTAATCTCCTATTACGTTTGCACGCCGTGGTGTAACTTGGATATTGTTCAGGGCGGCGTTAAACCCAACTCATTCATTCTTGTATGTATGCACGCATGCTTATAGTCCATTCTACCTTATCTTCCACATTTTTGGACCATCTGGCCTTCTCAAGTGAGTTGGTAAGTTAGGAGGAGAAGATTGATTTGGGTGAAATGGGGTTTAACGTCGCGTTCAAGATTATGAACGACGTGCATGTATGTGTGTGTGTGTGTGTGTGTGCGTGTGTGTGTGTGTGTGTGTGTGTGTGTGTGGCTGCTTGTACTTGTCCGGAATTATGCCGGTTTTATAGCGCTAGCTCACGAAGATGCCATACCGCAGTTTAACATGGATATACCTCACGCAGACACAGTATACCGACTCCGAGCCTATTCAACAATGTTTCATGCTGTTAACACCGAGCGCCAGGCACATCAATGACGACTGCCATCGTTCGTCTATTGTTACGACGCGGCGATGGGATTCGCTGTCCGGCCAGACATTCTATCCACGCAACCGCTTCATTGATGAATAATATGTGCTTTCTTGAGGGATATCAAAATGTCACAGCTTTATCGGAAAGACATACAACTCAGTTTTCAGACCGCCTCCGTTCTAGTGGTAGAGCGTCCGCCCGGAGAGCGGAAGGTCCAGGGTTCGATCCCGGGCCGCGTCATACAAAAAGACGTCAAAAGATTGTACTTCTTGTTACCCTGTCTGGCGCTCGGCATTAAGGGGCTAAAACAAGGACTGGTCGGCTCGGAGTCAGTATACTGTGTCTGAGTGGGGTATCCATGTTAAACTGCGGCATGGTATCTCAGTGTGCTAGCACTATAAATCGGCATCAGTCCGGACTAGTACAAGCAGCCACACACACACATACAAGTGCATGCACGTCGCTATATAAGTGCAATAATCTTGGACGCGACGTTAAACCCAATTTCACCTCACCTCACAACTCAGTTTTCAAGTCGTACCAGAACGTTTTTGTTCTGGTATTCAAACATTGAGTCTATAACATGTATCGTACCTTACCTTACCTGAAAAGCTGATATGCGGAAAGGGAGGAGGCCGGCGCTTTTAAGGTCAAATAAGTTAAAAATGTTATGCACATTGCTGACTGAAACGATGACAGCATCTGCCCTAGTCGACGGAAGTTATGGCGATATTTAAAACAGCCCCCAAAAAACCAAACTCTTATCGTATTCATCCAAAACAGTTTAGTCATTATTTTTGTGTTATTGCTGTATGTTTTCCTTGAAGAACGAACTTTTATTGGCGAAAGATATAGACAGATGGTCTGTGAGAGAAAGGTTGTATTCCTAAGACATCGTAAAGACTATTTTCAGACGGTACTTCCGCCGAGGAGTGTCTAACGTCAGTCAACAAATATATAAAATACTGAAAACTGATACCAACCCTTCCACCATTGACTTCCTAGGTCCTGTCGCTCACCTACATCCGAAACCTGGTAATCACCAAACATTCCAAATGCTTTGGCATGATGTGCTTCTTCATACAAACTGTTTTTACCGTTACAGTAACTGTCATCAAAGTTTCTGTTCATTTGATCAGCACACCTCTAGCATGTTTTAAAGTGGTAGTTAACCTAATGTATATGTTATGTGTCATATTAAAACACATTTCAACCGTTTCTCGGGGTTCAGCATCACTCGGTGGAAAGTTCTGGTCAGAACGGTTCCCTAGCAACATATACTGGTAGTGAGAGGGTACTTAGTGGATCGGGTGGTCAGGTTCGGTGAATTGGTATATGTCATCGTTCTCGAAGGCGTGAGACTAGATTATTTAATGTCTACCATCCTTTACCTGGAATATTTCTGAGTGCGGCGTTCAGTATCAGGGTTGGTCAATCCTTAAATTTATCAGACCTATTGATCCATTTTAAGCATTCGTCACTAATCGGCCATCTATGATTATGATGAAGTGAACTAACGACGTCAACGTAAGAAAACATTCATTCTCGATTATCAACCGAAACAAATTCCATTGCGTAAAAGGCAAAAGAGCGGTGAAAATATATGGAGAGATCACTGAAAATCAGTGATGACCCCATTTGTACGCGAAAAGGGTTCTGCTTTACCCGTAGCACGGTAATGAAAAGATACAAGGTGTTATGTGTCGATAGGAAAGTATTAAAGGAAATCTGTACCGTATTGTTATATATGCATATTTCTGGTGTTATATGACAAACATTCTGACATTCGAATTCAACTGCAGAAAAATGACACATTAAACTAATGGTCTTGACACAGTCACACTTAAATGTATGATAATATAACATGGTCTCTACATACAAACATTAACTGATAAAGACAAATGACTTGGTTGACATCGTGTCATATCGACTTTTTGCTCTTATGCCTTACCAGTTTGTCTGGTCATGAGCTGTTAAGAATATACATAACTGATACACAAAGTACCATTTGAAATTTAGGGTCATTGTACTTCAAATGTGCTGTTCTAATCAAAATGAAACCAGGTTATTGTTATTGTATACTGACTGTCCAGTCGTTTCTTTTATCCTGAAAGATTGAACATGGTAACAAAGATTCAATAACGAACCAATTTCCCTCCCTAAA